CCTGCCAGACTGAGCTCTGCCTGCTTTCCCTGCCTTGAGTTTCTGTCCTCTACCTACCTACCATTTCTGAATAGCCAGAACCAGCACAGCATTGCCATAGCTTGTGCTTTTTCTACCTGGTTGTTCTTGCTGATTTTCTACTATTACACCCGAGGGAAGGCGTATTCACCCACTATTTCCAGCAGTTCCAGTGGAGCTTTCGGTAGAATAACTCCATGATCCATTCACGGATTTTGATGCTCGAACACCTCTCCACTTTCCACTCTCCTTGCAGTTGTCCGAATAAAAGGTCCAAAGACTGCCGGGCTTGCTGCAGTGACAGCTGCCACCAGGAACAGGGTTGTATTTACAGGGCAGGTATCCAAAATAGAGGGTGTGGGATTACAGCCCGGGACCCATAAGGGCTCACGGGCCTTACTGTGCCTGTTAGCCTTTTGGGTTACTTCTGTATTTTTAGCGCTTTGCCTCGATGCCGAGGGGGGGGAGGTGGGTGCCCGCTTAACTCCGGGGCTCTGAAGGAGGTGGTCGCTAGCGGGCGCCCCCCCCCGCCTGCCAGCCCGGCGCCGCCCAGCCCCGCAGCCGGGCAGGGCACCGGGCCCTCGGGGGAGGCTGCCCGACCCCCCGTCCTAATAAGAACCGTAAGACCAGAGCGTATTGGTCTCTCCTACAACTCCTTCCTTCTGATCTTTTCAAGAGATTTTGTTTTGTTCTACTTTTAATATCCAAATCTGGCTGAGAGGGATGGAGACGCCTTTCTCATGGGTTGCCCCCTCCTCTTTTCTGATGGAGAAAAATCCATTTGTGAATCGGTCCCTCAGTCAAAAATGCTGTTATCCAGCAAAACACCTAAAGTTTTTAAATGAATGTGGCAGCCTTTGCAACTAATTTTCTTATACATTTCTATAATAGGTCCACCCCAAACCCTGAGGTCTTTTATCTACAGGTGATGGGTGACATGTAGCTGTGAGTAAAGGTTTTGCTTCACAGCTTAGTCCTATCTCGTTCCAGTCCTCTAGACATTCAGCCAGTAGGCACTGACACTGGAAGATGCATTGTTTGATTCAGGTGCGTGGCTTTAAAACTAAAACTGAAATTGAAGAAAACACGTCATTATTTTGATCCTTTTCTCCCTCTCTTCGCATCAAAACTGAAATAAATTGTATTCAAGCTCTTCCTGTAGTAACAGGTGCTACAACCTCCAAATTCACTTTTTTTTCCCTGGAAGGATGAGAGAAGTCCCAAGCTGGAGCTGGACATGGGAGCTCTAGTCCTGCAATAGCCCCAGCAGCAAACGATGGTCAGTGCAGCCTTGGCAGCCTGTGCTGCCCGTGGTTTGGTCCCTGCACGCAGTTAGGCAGCAAGTGTTTCTCTTTGTAGGCAGTTTTGCCTTGTCAAGCTAACAGAAACTCCTTGAATTTATGGAGGCAGACATGGGGAATGCAGTAATCAAATCATTGACGCTGCCTATTATTTATAAAATGTTTGTGACTTGAAAGAGTCTTAATAAAGGTATGGGTCCTGCCTTGAGGAACTTACACTTACAATAACTGTTATAATTGCAGTGATAATAGTCTGCTATTAATTATTAAATAGTCACACCAGGTTCTGAACATGTAAAACAGTAGAAGGAAAAATCCCACTTTAAAGCTGGCAAATACTCTACAGTATCTGATAAATCTATTTCCTATTGCACGTGTCCATTTTTCCCCAAAGCACTTGGAAGAGATTTATTTTCTGCAACGTTCTTCCATATGAGTCACTCCCTTCTGCTATTTTTTTTGTCTTCCTTTTTTGTTGGTCTAGTCTGTGATGTCAAAACCCAAATCAGACGTTTCTGTTTCTCAGTTTTCAGTGAGAAACCAGGTTGAATACTTTCAAAGATGCATATTCACAGCTGAAATTTGAGGGAGAAGTCCAAAACAAATTCTTCCATGTGCATTTTTTGGTAGCACATTAAATCTGACTTGATTTCAGATTCCTACAGGCTCCAAATGATTTCTCTCAGCTGTGTGTTTTGGAACTTCATATAAAGCAGCAAATCCTTCTGCTCTGTTCTCTTGCAGTTGATATACCTCCCAAGCTGCCCTTCAGTGTTGAAATAACCCTTGAAGAACTCATCTATTTATTAAAGCACTAGAGAAAAGTGTTTACTTCTGATTTTCAGCCCACTGCTTCTCCGGCATTAGCCTTGTTAGATGCATATGACATACTTAGAAAGCCAGCACTACTTGTAACGTGTCTTTACAACCAGAGTTCCTGAAATGTGATAACACTGCTAGTCCTTCTCATTGAAAGATCTCAACACATTACAAAAAAGGTAAATCATGTCTAGCAGGGGACAATCCTGCTTTTAACAATCCCTGCACACCTTTCTCATGGGAATGATTTATGCCAGTGATACTATTCTAATCCCTCCCTCCATTTGTCTATTATCACTTGGAGTGTGGGACTGATTCCAGAGATGAGCAGAAGTCACACTGTGCTCACCTGTATTTGAAAGTCACCATGAATACTTACAGTGATCTGTCCCAGGAGTAGTAGAAAGCGGTCCAATTCTCATAAAACAATTAAGTGACTAAAACCAGTAATTGGTCTTCATGGTCTGATAAGCCCAATAAGGGCAGCAAAAAAGAGACATGACAATATTGCAACATGTTCAGACACTGGAGGTGAGGTAAGAGAAGATCAGTGGAAAGTATGATGGTCAAACCTTGTGCACACTCTGACGGCCAGGCTTGGACAGCAGCTAGTTTTATGTGCTCCACTACTCCGAAACGTGGAAATGCAACCTTCCAGACTTACTTTCACAGAGCAGGGGAACAGCCTCATTCCAGGCAGCAGCTCTGCAACCACGGATGAGGGTGCACGTGTCACTGCAGATCTCAGCACTCTTGGCTCTGATGTGGAGAAGGAAGAGAGACAAGCTCGTCATTTCACGTTAGCACACTGTATAAAGGGAGGTGATGGGAAGAGGACAAGCTAACTACGTTTTGTAGAGGGCCTGATAAAAACAAAACACATTCTGGAAAAAGCCTCGTGTCACCTTAACACCCAAGCTATTTACTACAGCAAATAACCTACCAGGTACATCTGCATCAACTGGTTGCATCTGCCTGTAGGCAATATCCACCTGCTCGCATCTGTACGACACTACATGGGATTCATCCCATCCTTTCTAAGCAGACACTTGAGGGGCCTGGACCAGGCATGTGTCATGCTCTGAGAAAGCCTGGTATGCCCTTATACTGCCTTTACACCAAAACTCAGTACCGTCAACCAGTCTCAGAAGCCTAGAAAAAAAACGAGACTGGGACCTCTTTCTGTTGCAATTAGAGATCAGGCCCTCTCTATCATCTCAATGCAGGAATATGGGAGAAAGCATCCTGATTATCCTTCTCTATGCAGCTCTCACCTTTGCCAGTGGCTACCTTGGATTCTCCTTGAGGTTTCTCCATGGGCCAGACACTCCACCAGTCACGGCAAGGATTCCCCAACAGCGATGATTTCACACACACTGCAGGCCATTATGTGGAGTGGTTTGTTCCCTTTCCCAGCTCAGCACTTGATTACTGGTACCCACAACTGGGAAGGACAGAGAGTCCCTTCAGAGCTGGACTGAGTCACCAAGGACCAAATTCCTTTTTCTGGCACATGGAAGGGAGGAGCAAAGCGAGCCTCTGAAGCAAATGCAAACGGATGGGGCCTTTGCCTTGGAAATCTCTCTGCCCAACAGGTGCCTCCTCTGTCGTCCCCACCTAAATCAAAACGACCTGATCAGCAAGCCATGCCCTCAGCTGTCGAGCCCTTGCATGCCTTTGCCTCCCATCGCAACATGTGCCACGAGCGGTTCGTGGTCCCATGTATGGGCAGGGGGAGCGTTCCCTTCTCCAGTTTTTCCTGGGAATGACACTAGAAAACTCTCCAGAAAATATTTTGGTTCCCTAATCAATTCTTTATTTGCTTTGGGGCTAACAAGGGCCAGGTGAGAGGCAGTCTGAAGCATCAGCTCAACCCTCGCCTTTTCTCGTTCATTTCAGAAAGGGAAACTCTCAGCTTTTAAAAGCTCCTCCAAGCCCGGAGTTCAGCGCAGTCACCTTCTAAGAGCCGAACCTGCTTTCACGGTTCCGAAGAGTTCAGACACTGCACGCTGGAGGCTGGACTAGCAAGTCACGACACCCTCCCTGCCCTTCCAGCGTCCAGGGGCGGCTTCAACTCAGCAGCTGCGCTGCTGCGCTGCTCACGTCGGCAGTTTCTCCTCCGCTGCCTTGTCCCAGCCAGCAGACGCGAGTCTTGAGAGCGCCGCAGCGATTCACTCCCCTTCCCGCTCACTTTCCAGAGCTGTTTTGTCCCGCCGCTCCTGAGGCAGCGCCTCCTTTCATCCCCAGGTGCCCGTTGAGGGGTGTCTGTTGCCCCCGTCGGACCCCGGGG